GTGTGCAGACCTAAGAACTCGTGTTAGGAATTAAAACAAAGTGTATAAAAATAGAGAAATAACAAACGTTTATGACTAACAAAACCTGTTCAAGCTCGAATTTGAGTCTCGACAAATGTTTTACGAGTGATGAGCGAGACTTATTTCCAGGTTTCTTAATCTCGATAAATCACCATGCCAACCACTGTTTTTACAATTCACAATATTATTAGCATTGTCAAACAATAGGAGTTGTAATAAGATAAATTCCTCTACTAAATTAACTTCCTTATATCCGAAGTAGAGTCACTCAGACTGTGTTATCAATGATAAAGTTAATTACAAACCTCATTAGTCCCGTATAACTAATTAAATATTATATTTTAACCAAAACTCATTATAATTATACAGGAAATATGGATTTAAATCGCAGTCCTTCCAATATCATAATTACATTTCTCTCTTCTTTGTTTTCTTGAAAGGAAAACTTGGAGAGAGAGAGAGAGAGAGAGAGAGAGAGAGGGAGGTTTAATGTCCACTTGACACAAACTAGGTCATTTTTGGACTAACACATGGTTCAATTTTGTTTCAATACTTTGCTTTCGTGTAAGGGTCTTTAGCCGTGGCAGGAAACCAGAAGACCCAGAGAAAACCCACAAGGTTGGAAAGGCTTGCAACCCTACTCTTTGCCAGGTACAACATGGGGAATCAAAACCACACCACTTGACTCAATGGCAGATCTTATGATACAGCGTGCACATGCTAACCATTCAGTCATTCAACCGGTCCCCTTCCCCCAAACTAGGAGAGAGATAGTTTAACAGCCTTTTTTTCTCCCCCGAGACAGTGGCGTTTGCCATTTCTTCCTATCCTTAGTCAAATTTCATGAGAGAATAACATATGGCATGTATCACAAATACTAAAAGTTGTGCCCAAGTGACATTAGCTGTGTTGGAGGAATTAGAAGCACCTGAGAAATCTGCAGACAAAAAATTATGAATTTTGATAGACTTTCAAAAATTCCAGCTTTTCAGTTTCGATAGGTTTCTTCCTTATGAGCAAATGAGAAACCAAATCCGAAATGAAATGTACATGTAGTAAGTTAAACGAGTTAAGTTGACCGAGAGAACAGATGCAGTTTTAAAAATCGGAAACATAAATCAACAAAACACATCAGATATATATTTGAAATTCTTTAGGATATTTCCTTATATGGCTAATCAACAATCCCATCAACACATGAGTGTTCCGAGAGAGTGAAAGAGAGGGGGAGAGGAGAGAGAGATTTATTAATTCATTTAGGTACTGTGAAAGAGAGAGAGAAATTGGGTTTAAAGTCCACTCAACACAAACTAGATCATCTAGGGACTAACATATGGTTCAATTAAATTTTAATAATTTGAAAGCTCATAGGAGTCTTAAGCAGTGAGAGGAAACCGGAGGACTTGAAGAAAACCCACAAGGTTGGACAGGTGACCCTACTTGTCACATGCAAGCAGGGAATCAAAACCACTCCACTTGACTCAATGACAGACCTTCACAGGAAAAGTTGGATGGATGTACAGACGGATGGACAGATTGCGTCTATGACAATATTCGTTCATGTTTAAATGGGAGCATATAAAAATATATTCCAATGATCGTTTGTTAAACAAAATGTTATCAACATAATTCTTTCATTTTAGTCATTCCTATCAATTTCTACATTTAGTTTATTTGGAAATGGATGTTATGATGAAGATGTTACGATCAGCCAACATGCAATAAACCCATTCACATTCACTCAAACAGATTAATCTACATTTCCTTAACTCGTTTCAATTGGACGATGGGTGGGTTTATGGTCTGGTTTTACACAGACATGTCTAGTGAACACGAACTATCTTGTTAACTCGTTTTTACGGAGGTTAAGACAATCAAAAAGGTTCAACTCCAACATTTTCTTTAGGTATATCAATGCTCTGATTTCATTTCGTAGTTAAGGTGATTTTTAAGAGGGTGACAGTGAACACAAACTTGTTTTTACGGAGGTTAAGACAATCAAACAGATTCAACTACAAAATTTTCTTTAGGTATATCAATGCTCCGATTTCATTTTGTAGTCAAGGTGATTTTTTATTACACATAATTTACACATAAATCATCTGAGAGACAGAGAGAGAGGGAGGGTGACAGTAAACACGAACTTGTTTCTATGGAGGTTAAGACAATCAAAACAGGTTCAACTCCAGCATTTTCTTTAGGTACATCAATACTCTGATTTCATTTTGTAATCAAAGTGATTTTTTATTACACATAAAATTTCATCTGAGAGAGAGAGAGAGAGAGAGAGAAAGAGAAGTTGAAAGAGAAGAGATAGAGAGATGGGGTTTAACCAACGAGCATGGACAGGTGACCCTACTCTTTTTCACTTGAATAAATGACAGACCTTATGATCTAAAGTGGATGTCTTAGACCATACAGCACCCCCCGCCCCCCATCTGATATAGACACTAGTCTTGGATGTTTGTTGGTTTTTTTTAACCTGTTTCCTGGTTTTCTTTGATCATGTTTAAAAAGGACATACACAAGAGACAAATATAAATCTGTCAAGGGACAGGATTCAGGGTCACATAATCTGGATTGGGTGGAGCGGTAGAATATTGATAATAAATATCTGAATTGGTAGGGTAGCAAAATACCAGTAATAAATATCTGAATTGGGAGGGAGGGTCAGTAGAATAAATATCGGTAATAAATATCTGGATTGGAAGGGTTGGCAGAATATTGGTAATAAATATCTGAATTGGGAGGGTAGCAAAATACCAGTAATAAATATCTGGATTGGGAGGGTCAGTAGAATAAATATCTGAAATAAATATCTGGATTGGAAGGGTTGGGAGAATATTGATAATAAAAATCTGGATTGGAAAGGAAAGTTTGGGAGAATATTGGTAATAAATATCTGGATTGGGAGGATCGGTATAATTTGGGTAATAAATATCTGGATTGGGAAGATCGGTAGAATAAATATCTGGAATTGGAAAGTTTGACAGACAGTAATGAATATCTAGTTTGGGAGTATAAGCAGAATAACAGCAATAAATATCTGGATTGCGAGGGTTGGTTCAATATGGGTAATAAATATCTGGATTGTCAGGGTTAGTTGAATATGGGTAATAAATTATTTTTAATATTTTGATTGTGAGGGTTGATCGAATATTGATAATAAATAACTGGATTGAGAGGATTGACAAGAAAAGTGATATTCAAGATCTGGATATTTTAGATACTAATTTTGTGTATCAGAGTTCATATCAGGGCTCTTGTTACAAGCATATTTCCCAGACTGGATTTGAACTTACTGGTAACTACATGGGTGATAATTTACCTGTCAAACAATTTAATTACTTTTTTTTTTGAAAAAAAATGAAAACCCTCAAAAAACTTAATAGATTTTATGCGTAAAACAACTTAAACATTGATTTATAAATCGAGAAAATTATAAAAATTGTCGACCTTTAAAAATAATAAGATCAACAAATTATATGAAAACTGAATTTAAAAAATTACGAACATGATCAAAGCACATACATGTAATTCTGAAGTGACCGCCCTGGTAATAGATTATCAATAATTAATAAAACTTTCATACATTTGAGAGCTAGTGCTCTTGAAATCCAAGTACACATGAAACAACATATCTAAACCATAATCTGAGATTTAGACAAAGAGCTGACAGCTGAACATTTCTGTCAACTTTCTGAACAGACATATTTCAGTTTGAGAGCAATGTAGTCTCAATTGTCATTGCTACTATTGTTACGATAATAAATAAAGTCTTGATTATCCATTTATTAATTAAGTTATTCACTGTCAATCGTGATTAAATCCTTTGAAAATCAAAACCATCTGGTGATCTAGAGATTTGATTATGGGCTTGGCATGTGAATAAATGTCTAATCATTGATTTATGTAACATTTGAGGTCAAATGAAATGAAATGGGGTTTAACGTCCTACTGTTCTGCTCCTAAACTGGGCTAATGAAAACGGGCATACGCCATACAGTGTGCTATGAGGGAAATTTTGCCCGGGCAGCGGCACTACGGCCTACTCTTATATCGAATTCCAACTGCCAAGGGATCTTTTACGTGCATGCCAATATGTACACGGGACTAGACAGCTGTCCTTGTCAGGCCCTCCGTCCTGCATCACTGACAAGGGGAAACCACGCCGGAAAATCTGGATGAACTTTCTCGGCCAATGCAGGGATCGAACACCCGACCTCCAGGCTAGCGAGCCAGCGTCGTACCCACTTAGCCACAAGGTCTAATGAAAGATCGACGTTAAGCTGATTTAGCTTACAGCTTTAATAAGAAACCAGAATTGAGTTGAAACATACCGACGGGTCGATTGTTAAAAATAGAACTGAAAATATTATCAAAAAATAAAATTGGGTTTCTTTAAGCGATTAATAAATCCAATCCGGATAAAAGTCTTGGATTCTCTTTAAATGGATTTATAATCCCTTGTAAACTACAATATTGTGGAAGTTGAATCTCTAAAAATAATAATATTATTTACAAAGTTATGATTAATTGAAAATTTGTCCACAAATTATCATCCACTGCAAACGATTATATAGGATATAGTATACACAAGCCAGCACCATCTATGAGTTTTGCTCAAAGGCAGTTGACTTCTTCATTCTGCACAAGTGGTAAGGGAATAAATCCAACGCTGGAAAATCCAGTAGTAATCCACTCAGTACAGTCAATACAATGTATATTTTGGAATTTTGAATATTATTCACCACATCTTGATGTCCAATTGGGCATATATTCCTGGTCAGACATTTGGACAATCGTGTAGGAATGACCGAATTATAGAGGCGAAGTAGCATTAAATGAAAACACACCAGATCCACACACAACTGATCTACTTTAAAGACATCTGTGTTATATTACTGAGCAGCTTTATTCTGACTATTTTTGCAACCATGTGTGTGGGCGTATGAATAAAAATCGGGCTCAAAACCTACCTTTTTATCATTGGCACTCAGTGTGCGCAAATACAACCAGATGAGACTGGGTACAAACTCTACAGCAAATCTTCTTAACTCTGGTTCCACAGAACGGTAAAACTCGTACAGTTGATGACAAACTGGATCCAAGTACTACAAATATATAAAAAACAAATTGAAAATCAATGAATGATGTCATGAGACATTATAAAGTTCACACAAAATGTTTTTGAATTCATATAGCTTTTCATACAAACTGAATTTTTAGAGTTAATACATGTACCGGTAGGTGGCCGAATGATTAATGCATGCACGTTGCATAATACGGTCTGCCATTGAGTCAAGTGGCGTGGTTTTGATTCCCCGCTGGTAGGTGAAGGGTTAGTACCTCAATGGGATTTTCAACTACAATATATAGCAGTCAATTATCATATGATTGAGATAAATCAACAGGAAGTTTTTGTAAATTGTAATTTGAGTTCTGATACAATAACATGTTTTTAAAAAAAATGGATACTGTAAACACATACAGTATTCTTTCTCATAAGACCTGATACCACTTCATTAGCCTAGTTTTAATTTCATTTCACTATTGTGGAGTTTGCAAAGCTAATAAATATTTGAATGTAAAGATTGTTGTTACTATGTAATTAAGCACACTGGCTTCCAGAAAAAAGGTAGAATTATTATTACTATATTTATTTTTATTATTATTTTTGTGGTATTACTATATTTATCTTTATCATTATTACAACATCTTTTTGTGGTAAATATAAAATATGCCCTAACTTTATAGTCAATATACCTTAATTCTTTCTCACTATAACATAGACCATTTAGTTTTAGACTACCTGGCTTATTTTATATACATTTCACTGATATGTTTACTTCTAATGTATAGGTAATTTTTTACTTCAATATGCTTACATTTATATTTCATGTAGCATATAGCAGATCATGATTTGTACTAGTATTACACAGTTATTTTCTCTGGGATGTATTCCTGATTGTTTGTTTTAGAATTTTGGTTGAAGTCTGTATCACTACAGGCACGAGACTGTACAGCGCAGTGGACGCTTACGGCTAGCCCTCCGACCCATTCACTTAATTTGATATATATGTTTGATTGTGATTTCTGCATATTGTGTCCTGTCTGTAGTTTTTGTTTTGTGTAATTATGTGTGGCACAGTCCCCTAGCATTTACTATTATAGTGTGCCCTTTCACATCACATATTCAGGGGCACTTTACAAAGTGACAATATAATAATAATAAAAAAATTATGGACAAGTTAAAAGTTATATAAGCAGTGTCAATTACAAGCTTGTTTAAATAAATGTTTTAAGTTGTTTTTCAACAGAATATAGAGATGTACAACATCTCAAACTAAAGCTAGATCATTCCATAAAACAGGGGCTGGAAAGCTAAAAGAGAGCTGATCGTAAGAGACTAGTTAAGGGATTTAACCCGTAAGTGCGTAGGTCATTATATAATGTCCTGGACAACTGCCACTCACTGTGTGTAGGGCGTAATATAACGCCTTGGATGTATTTTCCCCAACCTATTCTTAGAACATAGTACATAGTTCTTCGTCACTTCGTCAAATTAATTACACAATAGGGGGTAGTTAACGTTTTAAAAACGTCACGCTTAACGGGTTAAAAGTAGTTTATCTGATGTACATAATTGTGATACCATTGCAAGATAACCTAATCTTTAAATGATAATTCAGAATAATTTTAATAAAATTACTTTCTATTGTGTATAGTCTTAAACATTTTCTGGTGCCTACAGCAACCCCTAGTGAATTAAATAATTCTGGTGCCTAGAGCAATCCCTTGTAGATTAAATAGTTGTGCAAAACAAATAGTATTATTATCAATATTTAAAGCATTTTTAATAAATATAGGACATTGCTTGGCAACAACTGAGAAATCAAGAGCCCTGAATGTTATAGCTAGAAACAGAACTATTTAGTAATTGAAATAAGTTGTGTTTGAATGACGTTAGATGTATCTTTAGAATAGAATGATATAGCGTGGCTAGAGTGATTACATACTTGCGTTATCTCTCATGACCTTATATAGCATTAGTTCTTAAGAAGATTAAAAATGGCCGAGCGTATAATATAAAATGGCTGATTTAACAAAGTAATCTTGTCAATCAAGGTAACTGTCAATCAAACATTGGGATAATTAAAGGCATCATGTCTGTTAGTCGTCTTTCACATGCAACCAAATAAAACTAATAAAAACTAAGACCCACAACCTCTGCTCACTATCATCATAATCAATTTCTTCTGGACATTTTGGGTCAATGATAGTTATCCGAAAGTAAAAATATCATTAGATCAGTGGTTCCCAAACCTTTTACACTTGCAGATAGCTGGGGAGAGAGAGAGAAAGAGAGAGAAATGGGGTTTAACATCCACTCAACACAAAATAGGTCACTTGGGACTAACACATGGTTCAATTTTATTTCAATAATTCGCTTGCGCGTATGTGTCTTTAGCAGTGGGATGAAACCAGAGGTCCCGGAAAAAACCCACGAGGTTGGACAGGCAAGCCTACTCCTTGTCACGTACAACCGGGGAATCGAAACCACGTCAGTTGACTCAATGACAGACTTTATGATACAGCGCGCACATGCTAACTATTCAGCCATCCAACCCCCCGGCCATATTTGGAACGCCAAAGGTTTAAATGTGGCGTTGGAACAAATTTCAACAAACTGCTGTGTTCATAATAATTAGAAACTAGTGGTGGAAATCATTGTTTCCAGTTTCAGTAAACTCTGACTTCTGTACTGGATGTCATAGATATCCAATTATATCTTGGCAATTTGGAAACCAGTCTAAAAAAATTACCTAATTTGGCTAATTTTGTCCATTTCAAAGTATTGTATCGTATTATAAAATGTAACGATTTTACTCAAATAAAACAATAAAATTTTCTTTATCTTGATATTTTTGTGTATCCCCGCCGACTTGATGTCAAATTTTAGTTCATGTGGCCCCTAAATCGAAATGAGTTTGACACCCCTACTCTAGAACTTTAGTGATATTCCCAATGTTATATCTCAATGTTGGCTTAAAGTGATAATTTCATATTTTCTAAGAAAGTCAAAACATAATTATTTCTATGTATTTTGCTCAATAGGTTGTCAACTCACTATTATACGTATTATTCTCCCTCTTAAAAATCCTTTGACCCCGGAAATAATAACACAATTACATGTATCTCCCTTGTTTTTCTATTCCCCCCATGAAATAGCTATCTTCAACCGTTTGAATTTAAAGTTGAAAAATGATATTTTTCATTGCCAGTTTCTCAACTGGCAATAGTGAATTATAGGATTAATAGGATTATTCTTTAACAAGGTAGGACTGTTTATAGATACCATCTATTTTAAGGTTTTATTTTAATAAATCTTAAAAATATAACTTAAAAATATGAAATTGCAGCTTTAATTATCTCTCAACACAACTGAAAACACCAAAATTAAATTTTAGCATTCTTTATTCAGGTGCGGTAGCATGGGCTATTCTACTAGCCTAGCACTTGCATTAATTAAAGATGCATTCCACAAAATTATTCACAGGGTATTATTTCTAATAAAAGTATTGCATACTTGGTATGGAAGGTGGGGGTCATGGTGGCTAAGTGGGCAAGACGCTGGCTCGCTAGCCTGGAGGTCGGGTGTTTGATCCTTGCATTGGCTGAGAAAGTTCATCCAGATTCTCCGGCGTGGTTATCCCTTGTCAGTGATGCAGGACGGAGGGCTTGACAAGGGCAGCTGTCTAGTTGTTTGAATGGTATGTAAAACCGAGGGCCTAAGTACACATTGGCGTGCACATAAAAGATACCTTGACAGTTGAAATTCAATATAAGAGTAGGTCGTAGTGCTGCTGTCCAGGCAAAATTTCACTCATAGCACACTGTATGGCGTATGCCCGTCTTTATTAGCCCAGTTGGAGCAGAACAGTAGGACGTTAAACCCCATTTCATTTCATTGGTATGGAAGGTAGAGATACTCAATCTCAATCTTTTAGACAAATACTGGATTCCTTGAGTGCACAAAACTATTCACTGGGTAGTTATATTATTTCCAATAAAAGTATTGCATATTTGGTATGGAAAGCAGATAAGATACATTCAATCTTACTTAAAAAATACTGGATTCCCTTAAAAACACTAATGGGGAGCCCACAGGATGAAAATGGAAATGAAATGGGGTATAACATCCTACTGTTCTGCTCCTAAACTGGGCTAATGAAGACGGGGATGAAAATGGAATTGTGTCTGCTCGAGTGACGTAAGGATCACTAAGTATGTGTTGATCAAATGGCTGGCAGTTTTGAGAACACTGAAAGACTTAAAATGTCCAGCAGGCTCTACAACTACAACTAAACCTCAGAAAAAGAAGTTGGCAGCGGATCATCTAAGAATTTACTTGTGCTTCGATATTTATAGTAAATAGATAGTGACAAACAACAAATACAAGCCGAAATGGATTTACCCTGAACCAACTTGATCATGTGACAAACAAGTCTACTTAGCATATATGCTTATAGGCAATGGATAGTTGTCTTGCATTTAAATTGTTTTGAGTGGTTTTTAGTCCAAATATATCATCAAATCACATGGGTAGTAATCTTTATAGTAACCATTGAGCTTTTTTTCTAATAGACTTTTGTTTCAGCCACAGAGGGTCATGAGGTGCTATGACCCAGTGGGAATTAACTGAATAGAGTTGACACTGTAAAGTTGAAATCGTTGACTAAGCATCAAATAACTTTCATAAATGAATCTATATGACACCAGCAAATCAAAGACGTCATTTCATATACATAATGTGTATTAGTTAGTTAAAATTGTTAGTAATCAGACAGTAGTCATTAAGTAGGTATTTTGTCACTAAGGTGACTATTGAATGATATACACCACTATTGTCTAGGTTTGTGTATTCAATAGTGGTGGGTGTTATAAATAGTCACGCTTTTACACCAGTAGTGACATCTTTTACAGCTAATTACACACCTGCTAATTAATGACAACTGTATAATTTCTAACCACTTTCTATACATACTAAACATTAGTTTAAAATAATGACCTCTTATGCCATTTAATGAAAAATTTGTCATTACTTAAAGGCCCAGGTTCACAAGTCAACAGTATCAGCTTACCAGTGAGTGTTATCTTTAAAATAAGGACCAGATTAAGACCCATGTGGTTAGAGTTTTTCTGGAGTTTTATATACACATCATTATTTATTGCAACAAAAAACTGTACAGTAAGAAAAGACAAAAAATTCACATTGAAAATCTAATTATAAGTTCTTAATATTATTTTTTTAATTTGATATTTTAAATTTGTCATGTAACAAAACAGATATTCTGTTATGCTCCTGTTTCTATGATCCCCTAAGCACGTTCTGATTTTGTTTAATGGTTGGGGGGGAATGGTTTGTGTGTCAGTATGCATTAAGTCAACTGGCATGGTTTCGATTCCCTGGTTGTACGTGACAAGAAATAGTGTCGTCTGTCCAACTTCGTGGGTATTCTACAGGTCCTCCGGTTTCCTCCCACTGCTAAAGAACTCCCTCTATATTCTATTGGTCCTCCGATTTCCTCCCACTGCTTAAGAACTCTCTCTCTCTCTCTCTTAATGGTAAATCCAGCCCTGTTTAAAATCTACTGTGACCTCCCATTAAAAAGGCTTAAATTTCTGTTACTAAAACTATCACGTATATTTCATTCATCATTTATATTACACCCAATGTTGTCACCCACAAGTCATCATATGTTACATCAAAGAGATGTAATCTCTACTTTCACTTCATAGATTACAGAGCTCACTGAACCTCATTCATAATCACTTACTTATCAATGGAAAATATCTACTCAAGGGAAACAACTCTAATTAATTGTTGATAAATTATTGATAGCTGTAGTACCTATAGAGGTTGCTAGTCATTTATTGTGTAGTATATTATATGATAACATGGCTGTTCACAATGAAAATAAATCATACATGTACAACTTTAATATATTTCATAGGAGAGGGATACATCATTGAAACATTGTAATTACATCCTTATAGTTTAAACATACTTAGCAAGAGCTAAATTCGCCTATTGCAGGTTTAAATTATTAATTAGACATTAACTTATCCAGACCATAACCAACTCTCAATGTCATCGCTAGCCCTTGATATTTACCGGATTAAGATCCAATTTGCTGCTCAACTTTCATTCATGATTTAATCATGAAATGGATAATCGAGACTATGTTTTTCATCGTATCGACTTTAGTAATGATGATCGAGACTAGGCCAAAAATTCAATCGCTAAATTTTCTGTTCAGAGTGGATCAGTTTGACTGAAATTGTCAGCAAATTCCCTTTACATTATCTTTTTTTGAACTATTATAGTGAGAACTGCTAGCATTTTATCTAATCTCCGATAATGTATCTTTAAAGTAGCGATTAATTTATAATGGAAAGAGAGAGAGAGAAATGTGGTTTAACATCCACTCTATACAAATTATGTCATTTTGGGACAAACATTTGGTTAAATTTCATTTACAATAATTCGCTTGCATGTAAGGGTTTTTAGCAGTACAGGGAAACCGGAGGACCCAGAGCAAACCCAAGAGATTGGAGGGGAAATCCTACTCCTTGTCACGTCCAACCGGGGAATCAAACCCACACCACCTAAATTTAGACCTTATGATACACAGTGCACTTGTTAAACCACCTTCCCTTATAATGGAAAAGGAAAGAAATGGGTCAATGCTCTATCGTAATGAGGATTAAACATCATTTCGAGAAATACTATTAATAGAAAGAATTACATTAGTGGGTATAGAGATAGGAAAGTTGATAGTGATCTGCCTCCATAGATTACCTGGGGGGGTTGGTTGGCCGAACGGTCTGTCATTGAGTCAACTGGTGTGGTTTTGATTCCCCAGTTGTATGTGACAAGGCGTATGGTCGCTTGTGGTTTCCTCCCACTGCTAAAGACCTCTATGCGCAAGCGAATTATTGAAGTAAAATTGAACCATGTTAGTCCAGAAATGACATAGTTTGTGTCGCGTGGACGTTAAAACCTCATTTCTTTCTCTTTCCCATGCATTCCCAATAAGCTCTGTTGTTCAGACCAAGGGAGCTAAATCCTTAAAAATGATATATGTAAGATTTAGAATTAGATAAAGAACTGACAGTTCTTGCTGTAAAAGTTCAAAAATAAAACAGGGAAATTACTTCATTCTGAGCAAAATTGAGGCAATAAAAAAAAATCAAATAGACCAGTTTTAACATCTTATTTTAAAACCATTTGAAGTTTACACAAGTCTCTGATTCAACCCTGCTCTATTTGTTCTTCTACTGTGAATAAAGTAATAATAATTCACGATACGATTCATATCACGATTCATAACCATATCAACATCTACCAAGAAAACAACAGGATAAATGAATATTTGATATTTTTAGTCCTGCTGATGTCGAAGAAATAGGGCTGTATATTATGGCCAAAAATTGTTTTGCATCATATTGCGATACTTGACATAAAGTCAGGGTTTATCACAAAGCATAGTTTTATTTTGAATAGTTTTGTGGTTTATCGAATCGCAAGAATCTAAATCGATCTTTAATGATTCTTTTTTTTATGTCTTTTATTGTTGCTTCAATAAGTAACCTGTCACTCTTAAACTGTTTTGGTCCTTATTTTGATCCAAAACAATATCGTGTTATAAAACAGTTTTTATTTCTTCGACATCGGCAGGACTAAAAATATCAATTATTTATTTATCCTGTTGTTTTCTTGGTAGATATTGACCTTGTTATGAAAGAGAGAGAGAAATCGGGTTTAACGTCCACTCGACAAAGACTAGATTGACTTTGTTATGAATCGTGATATGAATCATATTGTAGCACCTGAATCACAATAATGTATCGTATCGTGACTGCAATGGCAATACCCAGCACAAATCAGTCGATTAAGAACCCTATCGTAGGGGTCTTTACGAGTGAGAGAACACGGAGAAAACCTGTGAAGATGGGGAAGTGTTACTACCCCTTCTTGTTATGTACAAGCTTGGGATAGAAACCACACCACTTGACTCAATTGTAAGTTATATTAACCAGGCATACTAAACTTAGGCTGCCTGTCTGTCAACAATTAGCTCCGCTTGAGAACTGACACTAAGCTAGTTGACTGACATTTTATGTCCTAAATCGACCATTTTAGTCGAAAACACGAAGTATACTTCAAGTAGCTAAGTCTCTAACTCAATATCATCCAAAATCTTCAACATTGAAAACACAAATTATTTGTCAATTAAATCAACATTGATGCTGTGATCTAACCAGATGGGCTTCTGATATCCAATATTTAAGACAAAATAAACATGTTACCATTGGTACAGGAATCGTGTACCATAATGCGTTTTAGCCGCAGGACTAGCAAGAGACTCGAGGAACGAGGCTAGACATATTGCACCAAACCAAACTGTGTATGTAGACTGGAATAACCAGACGCTAGAAGCCAGCAGTCTCGATTGAGACTGCTGGCTTATTTCGCGGAACATAACTGATTTGAAATTAGAGTAAAAACGGAAACCATTGAATGTAAATCAGTTTATATACATTCATATTACAGTATTATATGAGTTGCGACCCACTTGTGTCAATTTCTAGGTCCCAAATATTAGCGATTTACCTCCTTTTGTTAAGTATTTATTCTGCTTCCATTTAATAAAATTGAATTTTTTAATATAATTTTTGTATGTATGACAGATGTGAAACAGAGTAGAACCGCATTACGAAACATTATACTAATTTTTAGATATGGCGGCGATTTAGGGCAGAGATCTAATCTCGAAGTATGAAGTAGATGGATCTCTGTGTGCAGAATGTTCACCAGGGGCAGATAATGCTGTGTAAACTTACCTCATTTGGTTGTGATTCAAACAGTTGATATAAAGCTATAACTAACTCTTTATTTTCTCTCAATGTTGATGCAAACGAATGAATTTCTGCATCTGGTAATCCCTGAAAAAAAAAAAAACCCACAATAAATTAGCAATTGAAAACATAAGATAAATGATTCATGTAGAAATTGTTTTTTAAAGATGGATTACGCAAGAGCTACATGTAAATCTGATCATTGCAGGACTTTCTTTAGGCCTTAAATGTTATATAAATTATTAATTAGATATTTGTTGAAATGACATGAATTTTAACAGATTTAAAAATATATGTCAGTTAATGATTTAATCAAAATCTGGATAATCAAGACTTTGTTTACTATCGTAACAACAAGGTACATGTCGTAATGACTATCAAGATTCAGAATGAAATAATTTGTCTGAGATTTTCAACATATTCTCTTTTCATTATCTATTTTTAACCATGATAGCGAGAATGATCAGCTCTTTATCTAAATCTTACATAATACATCTTTAGATAACTCCCTTACACAAAGTGGAAGGAAGTGTCGAAGTACCCAGAGAATATCCACAAGCTTGGGAAAGGGTCCCCACTCCATGACACATACAAATATAGGATATGGTAAGATGAATTGTGTACTCGTCAAATATATCAGAAGTGATATCAGGTGTTCTAGTAAGTAGAAGTCTACCTTATCCTGTGCACAACAGCCATGACAGAGAAAAAGTTAAAAATGGAATCCAGAAGCACATGGTAGAGTAGCAAGTAAAATAAGGGGAGGCAGCTATAGAAATTGATTAGACGGCCCCTGGACACAAACTAGGTCATTTCGGGACTAATACACGGTTCAATTTTAGTTCAATAATTTGCTTGACTGCCGTGCTTTAAATATAACTTAATATACATGTACTAACTTTATAATCAGCTAACCATTCTTTAATAGCTTTATTTAACATGTTAACACTAATGGTAGAATTACTATCTTCACTACATAACACTTTCATTGAAATCTGAAATACACAAAACATCTATTACACCAGATGACTTACACAGAACATGATCTAGTACACTAGCTAGCTGCCTTACACAGAACATCTAGTACACTACTCACTAATGCCCCCGTCAGACCGGGTGGCGTCCTTACTGTGCTGCTGCGACTAGAAAATGCACAAGGTCAACGGCAAACTTAAACACAACGCGAGAAAATGTCCCAAAAATTTACAAACTTGAAAGAAGTCGCGTTCTTTACCCCGTCAGACCGGGTGGCGCCTTTACTGCGCTGCTACGGAGACAGAATATATGTAGCACCATGGGTCTTTTGTCTGACGTGGAGAGTGGATTAAGGGAACCGGTCGCCACATCCTACATACGACCCATGCATCTTTTCTTACTACATATTTCTGTAGCCTTGTGATCGTCTAGAATTTGTCTCTAGCTGTCTTTACTTCTGCTTCACGTTGTGCATTTACTTCTTACAGTTTCTTAAGACGTTTGTCTTACCAGGAATAACAATGCGAGTTTGCTTCTACATATTTTATATATATGTATAGCTGAATACAGGTATACAAGCATAATAGATAACAATACTAGCTAAAACCATTTCTCCACCCTAGCCAGCCTCGCGGCTGTCTAGGAACTCAGATGTAAGCTCTCTGGAACCTAATAGAAGTCTGACTTACAGGGTTCCATGGTTTCTTTTAAAGGTATATGAATATCATGCACAATAAAGCGTGATCATGGCCCTGAACTTGTGTAATTAACAAAATGATTGGTTACTTTAAAACAAATGATGCAATTAGAATAATTCCACTCACGTGTAATTCTGGTGGTAAATTATTGACACGTTTTGATTAAAGAGCTCTTTTTTATATGTCAACTGTCAATCACAGACTAAGTTGATTTAAGTATTTTAAGTACATATCACTTATTATGCGAATATGTTATTTCTCGAGCAAAAATTCTACTAAAAGTATTACATTCGTCCCTTTCTTTAAGACTTTTTGCTCGGTATTGGGTAAAAGATCCCTTGAATCCTTTACAATAACCATACCAACATCTGTAGAAATATATAACTATTCATAAATGTAGCAGAAATCTAGAAAATCAACATATATCACCTCCCCCACTTGCAAGATTTATGCTAAATGAACAGGTAGGAGACTCTTAAAACTTCTATGTGCTAAACCCTATAATTATTCATGCAACAGACAAATAACAATGATACTATACTATATAACAAAACTGTGAAATAAAAACACAAATAATCAAAAATCAAAAGTCAAAAGTTGCATGCAAAAGTTCTCCAAAAAGTTCATCACTGTAAAATCCTATGAAAAATCACTAAGCCTAAACACAGAAAACACAAATTGTCTTTTTTAAATCTTCAAATGTCCTAATTTCAAAACACTTTAACACATCACGTAATATTTATAAAGTTCAGGTTTCACTTTAAATTCTGTCTCAGGAAATCTCAATTTGGTGAACTGGTAAACCATTTCTTCTTCTTGGATTTGTATTGGTCTGTGTCAGCTACCATAGTATCAAGTTGAAACTTTCTTTTTTTTCTTCTAAGTATGATTGGGTTGTACAATTTTATCTGTCAATCAAACATGTCATTGCCATCAGACCAAGAACTAACTATTCCTAAATTTTTTTTTTAAAACTTTATTTTGATATTAGTCTAATATTATTATTTCGAAAATTTACAAAGTAACTCACTCTTAATTAAAATTAAACTTTATTTTAGTATTAATTAACTTTGATGTGTCCCTTTAATTATAAATTTCAAACTAATTTTGACCTGAACTCGATCAGTAATGGACAATTTTATAATTACGTTTATGTTTTATAATTTCCATTTCTGTTTTAGAATTCCTACATTGTTATTTTATATTTCACCGTCAGTAATGTGACCTTTTTGACCTAATCATTTACAATTTTGTATTTCGTTTTTTATAAACATTCCTATCAGACTGACACTAACACAAGCTGAGCCAGTATATGAATGACATTCCATTTTATCCTACAGTACCTATTCCATCATTAGTATTTTATAAACACAACAATCAAAATATACCTTTTAATTACACACAATATCATATAACATTACTTAGAATCATGTTCAAAGCAAGTGATGTGCACCTCACTCCCCAAGAACATCAGTCGATATTTTATAAACAAAACAATTAGAACATACCTAACTTTTAATAACACATACAGTTAACTATATCCTATATATTATATTAATGCAATCCGTGACTTTTACACCCGTCAAATTTAACACAGTATGAATACTATTGTTTATTATAATTCGACCTCATGTCAAATTACACATTCCTAATCATTGCGTACATGTCGACAGCTTAAAGCAATTAGCAGTATATATTAAACGTTAATATTACGTTTCTAAGCAAAAATTTAATTACATAAAATTATATATGGACAAAATTTACCGTATTTCTCCACTTTTCTAAAAAGTGTTGTATTCTTAACTTTAACCTCCTATAAAACTCGTATTAATGACTTTGCGATAATCTCACAATTTAACGAGCCGTTAATTTTAGTTTTTTCCCAGGAAAACTATAACCAACATCCCTAGATTAACCATATGGGATTTTCAACATAACCCAACTTTTTAATCAAAAGTTAAATTACAACAACTCTAAGGCCTGGACTAAGGGCCTCAAAATTATATAGTATACGAAACAACAAAAAACACAAATTAACGAATCACAGTAGAAACCACGGCCAACTAGGAAACTACAGTTAATCACTCACAAACTTCATCCTTAGCTCTGCCGTAGTTCTCACTGCGATCCGGAGACAACATTAGTTTCTTACTTTATTCCCTATTCCGTTTCCTTATTATTCCTTAGTTATATCAAAACATTTTTTTTAAAACCTACTCCCTAAAATTTCTCTTTAACTTTAATTTTACTACAAATTTACTACAGGTCATGTTAACCTGGCAATATACACACCTAACCAGTGATATTATATTGTTTAATATACCTATCAATCAAAACTTATGAATGACTGTAATTTATTCTCTATACAGTTAAATTTTAAAGATTTAGTTTCTTATCAGATTTTAACTTTAAATTAATATTAATTGGTCTTTAAACAAATTTAATTTTCCAAACAAAATGTATTTACCCAATTTTACGAATATCTCCACCAGATCTTTTCCACCAGACTTTTTCTGTTGCTGGATTGTACAGGTTTTCTTCGTAACGTCTTCAAATATGTATTTTTCTTCTAAAGTGACTTCTTACCCCAGAGGTCGAAACTTCAGCACGGCACCAAATCGAATATGTAGCACCATGGGTCTTTTGTCTGACGTGGAGAGCAGATTAAGGGAACCGGTCGCCACATCCTACATACGACCCATGCATCTTTTCTTACTACATATTTCTGTAGCTTTGTGATCGTCTAGAATTTGTCTCTAGCTGTCTTTACTTCTGCTTCACGCCATAAGCGTGGTGGAAACGCAAGATATCGCGCCATGATCTCGATGGTCGCAAATGATCGCCGAGTCACGGCGTTTGTTTTGAGCATGTTCAAAACAAACGCCAAGGTTCTGCGATCTGCCCTGGAGAGAAGTGAAAACGCAATTTTTCTTTTCAAGTTTGTAATATTTTGGGACATTTTCGTACGTTGTGTTCACGTTTTCCGGCGACCTTGTGTGTTTTCTGGTCGCCGTACTGTCGCTGCAGCGCAGTAAGGATGCCTCCCGATCTGACGGAGGCATTACAACTTTCCAGGTTAGATCGCAGTCTTGGCGTTTGTTTTGAACATGCTTAATACAAACGCGGTGAGTAGGCGATCATTCACGACCATGGAGACCACAGCACAACATCTGGCGTTTCCACCACGCTTTTACCGCGCTTATGGTGATCTTGACGCGCTCTGCGGCCATTTTCCGTCATCGTAGCGTCGCAGTAAGGTTGCCATCCCAGTCTGACGGGGGTATTACTGACTTACACAATAAAACAGCTAGCACTAGCTACCTTACTCAAAACATCTAATACATGTCACTATCTAGCATGTCACTTGTACATCTTGTACATTTACAATAGCTATCAAGTAGGGAGCAACGGTGGCCAAGTGACTATGAAGACAATGGCTTGCTAACTCGGATATCCTGTGTTCGATCCCTGTATTGCCAGAGAAATTGTATCAAACTTTCCAGTGTGGTTCTTCCTTGTCAGTGATGCAGGACATAGGGCCTAGCAAGGGACAAGATGTAGTCGCTTCGACGAGACAACCCCCCCCCCCACCAAAAAAACAAGGTATCGGGTTCACATCGGCCTTCACTTAAAAGATCCCTTGGCAGTCAGAATTTGATATAAGAGAAGGGCGTAGCGCCACTTTCCGGGCAAAAATGCCCCTCATGGTACACTTTATGGCGTAAATGTAAGCCAGACTTCATTTACCAATGAATAGTGTATCAATTGTAGCTGTGGACAAGGCAGGACATTACTACAATATTGCAGCTAGGAATGCAATTAATTCAGTAATTCACTAATAATTGGCCAGGATCCTGACTAACAAATAACATTCAAGCTAAATTAAATGACACCTACATTCATTGTAGTAGCCTACATGTACTAGTACTAAGTATCGGGTACGGTATCTTGTCATTTTCGTGTTACATTGTCGATCATCTTGCAATGTGGACAAAAAGACATTTTTATTAATTAAATTTGATGGGGTGATTCGATAATTGAACATTTGCCACGATTAGTGAGTGACAGCAGGTTGAACCGTGAATGAGATTTTAAATATAATTACGTTCCTCATGACACAACACACAATGACATTTTGGGACTTTCTGTTATGTACAGCCGTATACGCTCATTTCATCTATTTTATTCAACAATTCTTCAGTTGGAAAATTACCCCCGTGTAGAAAACTAAGCAATATTTACCGGTGGAAAGTGCAAGTAAAAAATAGAACTTCGTTCAACAACCTGTGTGTTATTGCCGTAAACAATCCAATAACCTCTGACCTTTTTAATATTTACGACATACCTTCAAGAACACGGGTAATAAAAGCGTTAGTGTAATTAATATGCTGATTGTTTCCCTCTAAAAACATCCGTACAGTAACATATCTAATCTATATACAAATATTCTTATTGTATTTAAGGTAAGACAGTGTCGATAATTACGACATTAAATTTGCTTTTCAAGTGGTCAAAGGGAAGTAAATCTTTTTAACGATCCAGGAATCAGACTCCACGATATTAAACAAAACTCCTACTTTTCTAAACTGACTTGGCTAATAAAGATGAGCGTTCACCATACAGTGTGCTATGACGGAAATGTCTCTTGTACATCGCGCTACGGCCTACTTTTATTGTCAATGCTTCTTTTACGTGGACACATATTATGTGTACACGGGGCCTCGATTTTTCGTAACATCAGAACGACTAGACATTGTTCTTAACAAGGCATCCGTCCTGCGAAACTGACAAAGATGGGGTCGGGCACATGACGTTACTAAGGAATTGGCTCGAGTTGTACATACATAATTAATTGCATACTTTCTGGGTATTGTCATGACGAATATATAAAATATATATTTTATGCGGACTATTTTATGTAGGCTATATACGCCCTAAATTATATTTGTAGGTTATATAAATAATATTTGTTGGGCTTTAGGCGTGGCGGGAGGAGGGGGGATGGGGGGGTCATTTTTGTGGGCCCTGTTTCAACTGCACCACTTTTCATCGGTGGGCCTACCTCAATTTCATGCTCATTTTGCTTTAAAGTCAATGTAGCGCTGTGGTCGTAAATTCAGTCCCACCCTGTTTTTCTCTGGATAATGCCAATAGAGTGCTGGAAATCGGGGTTTTTTTTTCGTTTTTTTTTTCCGCATAGTCAAATTTCAAAAGAATTTTCGGAATAGAAAGCATGAAACCCCGACTCACCCCGTACAAACCCGGAAACCGCACAAGAAAACATTAAGTTGGGCCCTGTGCAGAGGTGATTTGATTTGTTCTGAAAGGTGACACTTTAAATTACCTAAATCGCTAATATTTTGGATCTAGAAATTGACACAAATGGGTCGCAACGCATATAACAACGTAATATGAATGTATATAAACTCATTTACATTCAACCAGTTCTGTTTTTACCATAATTTCAAATCAGTTATGTTCGGCGAAATACGCCAGAAGTCTCAATCGAATGGTAATCTCTAGCGTCTGGTTATTCCAATCTATTACTATTGCTCTCCAGAATATGGTGTCTAGCTTCTTTCTTCGAGTCCCTTGTTACAAATGGCACCGAAACGCATTATTGTACACGAGTCGTAAAATTTTTATTTTGTCTTAAATATTGGATATCAGAAGCTCATCTTTTCCGGGTAAGATCATAACATCAATTTTGATTTAAATCGACAAATAACTCGTGTTTTCAATGTTGAAGAGTTTGGATTATATTAAGTTAGAGACTTGGCTACTTCAAGCTGTGTATTATGAGAATATGAAAGGCTGTCGATGCCGTGATGAAAAATAATATTGGCCAGAAAGGATGAATAGAGCAAGAACAACACTAGACCGAGGACTGATCCTATCCACTATCAACAGAAGATCAGGCCCCCGAATTCACAAAGTATTCTCAGACTTAATTTTAAAATTTACCCAATTTTCAATCATGAGAAATATCTCTGATCCAGAAACAGATAGATTCTTATTGAGGTATTTGATACATTAAAACAACAATTAGGTTTTATAAAGGGCTATTTTGAAGTTACAATAAGGCGAACAAATTTGTGTAAATTCTTAACTTAAAGGAGCTAAGTCGCTAATATTTGGGACCTAGAAATTGACACAAATGTGTCGCGACTCATACAATAATGTAATATGAATGTATATAAATTGATTTACATTCAATCGTTTCTGTTTTTACTGTAATTTCTAATCAGTTAGGTTCGGCGAAATACGCCAGTATTCTCAATCGAATTTCAATCTCTAGCGTCTGGTTTTTCCAGTCTACGCCGATAGTATTTATTAGGCATACTCTCCAGATAAGAATATAGCTTCACCGTTTGACATTTGTAAAATGTTTATTTTGTCTTAAATATTGGATATTATAAGGCCATCTTTTCCGGGTAAGATCACAACATCAATGTTGATTTAAAGCGACAAATAAATCGTGTTTTCAATGTCGAAGATTTTGGATGATATTGAGTTAGAGACTTAGCTACTTTAACCCTGATAATGGCTTGTGAATTCGGGGCCTGATGTCATTTGATAGCCTTCAGGAGGTTTATAAGCTTGTTGTTAGGCTGTCTCAACGGTTATTCATCCAGTTGTTCCGGCGTGGTTCCCTCCTTGTCAGTGATGCAGGATGGAGGGTCTGACAAGGACAGCTGTCTAGTCGTTCGGATGGCACGAAAAACCGAGGCCCCGTGTGCATATTGGCATGCACGCAAGAGATCCCTTGACAGTTGGAATTCGATGTAAGAGTAGGCCGTAGTGCCACTGTCCGGGTAAAATTTCACTCATAGCACACTGTATGGCGTATGCCCGTCTTCATTAGCCCTGTTCGGCGCAGAACAGTAGGACGTTAAACCCCTTTTCATTTAATTTCATTTGTCTCAACGGTTATTCATTGTAACATTGTGATCACAATCCATTGCTAACGATTTTCTCCACAACCGTGAGACGACCAACAACCAAATTGATTTTCGAATTTAGTATGAATCATTGAGATCGGAGGGGATGAACCTGTTGATTTTCAGTATTCTAGGACTATCTCTTCCACAGGCACATCATGTGTCCGTTAAACCTTGTTAACACGATAGTGATCGAATTTTCTGAAGGCTCCGGTAAGGCTGCTCACTGTAGTTATCTTTATTTCGAGATATCTCAAGCTATGCGACAAGAGACAGGTACATGGGGATTAACGTCCACTCGACACAAACCATGTCATTTCGGGACTAACATATGGTTCAATTTTATTTCAATAATTCGTTTGTGTTTAGTGGTCTTTCGCAGTGGAAGGAAACCAGAGGACTTGGCCCAATGAAACCCCTTATGATATAAGGCGCACGCGTTAGATCCCCACCCACCTCAAAGAAAACGTGTAACCTATCACTGTGTCCATCTTATTGGACCCCAATGCAACTAATACCATAAGAATATTATTTACAGACAGTAATTTTCCCCGACAAACCCGGCCACTCACCCGAATTTTATTTCCTCTGCACCCCCACCCCATGCCTTAACGCCATGTCCCGCTTCAGTCTATTGGCTACAAGGAATCATCGTTAGGTCTAAATAGTAAGGTCAACTGCAGATTTGATCAAAGGTCACGAGATATAAACATGGCTAGCGCTAACCCTATCCCTAATCCACATACTCACGTGTCCTAACCCTATTA